TTTTTACTGCTTACTTTACTCACACATATACCTGAGCCATACAATAGAAATTAATTTCATTCAAGAAACGCTGAAAGAAACATCTTCGAAAACAACAGCAGCTCATTTCCAATGTCAATGCCATTGGAGTGCCAGAAGCACTCCGCGCTCCGTTGCCCGAACTTGTTTTTGCTTTTTTTTTGTTTTTTTTTATTTTCGGCGCAGAGCGGGTAACTACGACTTGCTGAATTCTTTTGGCTATCCAGCTCATGGAGTGGCCAACGGCGTGGCGATAGCTTTGTCGACTTTTCGCATATTTTCTCACAAAAGAATTTCTCAATTCTTTTTTGGCAGATACGATACGATACGATCGGGCCGCCGCGTTCGATTTTGATTTGGCTGGGGGGCAATTGCAGCGGCCGATTGAATTAATTTATGGGCACTGGGATTTCTGAATTTGGGATTTTCAAATATTCCATTTCTATTGCCATTTTTATTTTTTGTGCAGCTCTTTAGTTTTTGAAGCGCCGTTGGCTTAATTGTTGGGCTGCTGCTGCTGCTGTTGCCGCATAACTGTTTGGCTTTTGGCCCGATTCGAGCACGCATTAGCTATGACAGCTAATAAGCATCCAATAATTGGCCAAGCTACACCGCCAGAAACTACAACAGACAAGCAGCAATAGCAACAACAAAATGCAGTCTGCGTCTGTGGATGTGGTTTTGACACCTTGACCGCATTGGCGCATTGAATTACAACCAATTGGCCTTATTGGCCATTATATACGCGCATTGGCTCTTAAATCGGAATTATATTTTCTAACATTTAAGTGGCATGCCGAATGCCGTAAGGGTATTTTTATTACGATCCAGCCATTAAAATGAGCAGGCGTTGGCTATTTCAAAAAGATAAAAACGAGTTAAATTGTGAGCTGGATAGCATTCGCGATCCTTGCGGCTCATAAAATCGTTTTGGGCTAATGGCCAGTGCATTAACACTTTGGGGTTTATGCAAATTATCAAGCTATTGGCCATTAACAGGCAATTGTAGAAATGCATAGCTAATAACTGGCATTACGTATACGACAGGTCGGCCCATTGTCCCCCTTGGTATCTGTGTCGTTTCGCTTTGGTATTGAACGTGGCCCATTAGCCAGCGACTTGCACACTTTTTCTTTCTATCGCCAGACACTTTCTTTGGCTATTGAACTTAAAAGCATCTGCAGTAGCAGCAGCAGTGCCACTGGCGGCTACAAACCAGATCGCCGCCCCGAAACAAACAACGAGGCGGCAGAAACAGCAGCAGCAGCAGCAGCAGCAACAATTTGGGTTAGAGAAATTTGCGCCCCGCGACACACTTACAACCGCGAGTCAAGTTCTTGTGGCAGGTAAATACCTGTAAATAGCCGTGTGTATGGTTCTTTGCCACGGTTTAACCTTGGCGTTTGGGCGTAATGCGCGGCAAGTGTCGCTTTACGACCAACTCGTAATGTGCTTAGTTGCGCTTACTTTCTTTACACAGCAGCAGCAGCAGCAACAACTAGAATGGCCAACAACAATGCTAATGCTGCACATAAACCGATTTACTCAATTATAGTTTGAAAATCACAAAAACGGCAAACTTGGCCAATGCTTGGGTTTTGTGTTTTGCCTCAAGTGCTGGCGAGCTGTGGGTGCCATAAAGCAAGAAAAACAAAAAATGTATACAAATAAATAGATATAGTCGCAGCCAAGGTAATCAATTTGTTGGCAACTCAAACGCACACGCATACATATACATTTAAAAGCCAGCGTCCGTCATCATTTAATTTGCCAGCTGTTATCGCCAGAGACAATTGATTTGTGAGCCAGAGCAAAGCGCTTGAACATGCATTTGGTTAATTGGTGTATCTGAACGATGCGACCACGTGTCGGATATAGATACAGATGGAAGCAGTTGCTGCTTCAAGTTAAGCTGGCTGCAGCTTTTCACTAAATTAGCGGAGCATATGATTTGCATAATGTGGCCACTAATTTAATTATGGCTCATCTAACGGGCAGAATGACAGCCATGGCCAAAAACAATACCCAGAGCCATGCCCAGGCAGACTCCGACTCCGGCTTCGACTCCGCCTCCACCTCCGCCTGCAGACTGTGCCTATTATTATATAATTTGTCAGATTCTCAGTCACAGGCTCCTTTGGGTGCTGATGTCAGCTGCGGTGCCCTCATCATAACTTAAAATAGTCGCTGAGCGACAGTTAATTAAGCATTTTAAAGTCTGCTTCTTGTTGCTTTTTTTTTTTAACTGAATATAGCCCCAGAAGGGGTGACTTCTTCACAGTTGCTTTTTAATCTTTCTTTCTAGCAAATATGAAAGAAGCAGAAAAAATCTAAACAAAAAAAAAAAAAACAGCGAAAATTAAAATAAAATTTACATAAAGTCAAAGAACCTTATAGAAGAAAAAACCAACATAATAATTTGGATGTGTTGCGTTCTTGCGGCCTCGGCTGCAATCGCTTCTAATTGTTATGATAATTTTTGCAGGCGTCTGAAAAGGAAACGCAAAAGTCACTCGACTTGGCCACAAAAGAAAGGCTGCGCGGCCCAGTGAATCAAGAAACTAACTCAGCCTTGGCACGAAACATAAAAATAAAAAACAGCTTTAAAGCAAAGCACATCTAAGCGCTGCTGAAAGTGGCAATTGAAAGTGCCCCGAAATGGTCATTGGCATTGCTCACAGTTCATCAAACTGTTGGACGGCACGTGTGGCAGAAAATGTAGCAGCGTGTGTGTGTGTGTGTGTGTGTGTGTGTGTGTGTGTGTGTGTGTGTGGCATCTGATAAGCATCAACTGATCGAATTTTCTGCGGAAGCGCCACAATTTGTGTGGCCAAGTATCTAAGCCACATACCAAGCCTTTTAATTAAAATGCTGCAGCAGCTGTGAGCCATGCGAAATTCTGGCAAAAAGTGCTGAGTTCAGTGGCAGCCACAGGATGTGGCAGGGGCAGCTCTGCCCCAGGGCTGTGCTATTTGCCATATACTTTTTTTTTCGTTGGCTCATCAATAAATCTGTAAAGCTGCTGCAGGAAAACTCCGTTAGAGCCAAAAACAAAATGCTGTCTATAAATCACATGTTGCCGTGCGACATGGCCAAGGGACAGTTTTGGCTAAAGTGCAGCAATCGCTCCCTTCCTCACTCCCAAAAAAAAAAAAAAAAACACCCCAAACACCTGCTGCTGGCCATGGCCCTAACCCTGACGCTTGTCCTTGTTCTGTGTCGTTGTGGCTGGCCAGCTGCCAATGAAATCTCTGGCCAAAAGCAAATAATGCTCAAAGTCGATTTCGATTTCGGACAGGCTGCCAGCCATATTGATGGGGGGAGTATGGGGTAGAAAAGGAAGCCAGGCTATTGCGGTGCACACATATTGCGGCATTTTATTTGCATTTTTTTTATTGACCAACCAGTCTGTGCTGGAGCTATGAAAGTCCCCCATCCTAAACTATTCGCCATAAATATAAAATTTTTGGCTTTTATTTCAGTTGGCACTTTTTTAGATTTTCTTTTTCATTTGGACTGCCACAGTTTTTGCATTATTTATGGCCAACTAAAAGCTTTTGCAAGCGAACAATTTTAGTTTTTACGAGCATGACAAACGTCGTTGCGGTACAGTGTTGCCTGCACAGGATGAACTTGGTGTGGGCATAAATTCTAATTAGAAGTGCATTCCAACTTTTAGCCAGGACACTCGGCAGCCAGAGCCATGTGCCGGAGCCAAGTGGCCGGTAAATGGCTATTCATAAATTAAATAGCCGGGAAAAACTATTTTTCACAAAGGGCTAGCAAAAAGAGGCGGGCGGCGAGGGCGGCGTCGAATGGCTCTTACGCTGTGCAACGGCCCGCGGCGCCTCGCCAATTGTGAATGAATGAATGAGCGAGTAAATGAATGAATGTTTGCAATTTGCGCCAACAGCTGCAGCCGCCGACTTGAGCGGTTTTTTTATGAATGAATAACTTTGAGCATTAACTGCCTGAACAGCCTGGCCTGGCCTGCCCTGGCCTGGCCTGAGCTGGCTAACTGCCGGACTGGTTGGTTGTTGCCCATTTTAATGCCTGGTTGGCTTTTGGTTTAATTTTTGTAAAACAATAAATTTGTATTAATTGTTTGCCAGTAGTGAGTACGTAATTGAAATGTGCCACGAGCTCTGAACTGCGCTGACAAATCCAAATAAACCAAGATTTGCTTAAATAAATCCCCGTAAATCATATAGTTTTAATGAGCTCTGGCTTATGCCCTAGAAAGAATTGACCAAACAGCTGAAGTAATCAGCCCACAACGGAAGGCATCTTTAGAAAACTAGTTAGGCTGATGAATAATTAGAGGAACTAGTTTTTTTTCTCAATTGCGCAACGTTTCCACACAAGTGCATATAATTGCAATAATGCCAGAAAAAAATATGTATATATGTAAATCTTTTACAATATTTTAAATGAGAATAATTGTTGAACTAAAGTTCTGAACATTAGTCACACAAAGCAGGAACAGATATTTTTAAATATGCTAATTACTGACTAGAATACTAAAATGATAGTATTTAAATAATTTACTTCATTTTCATGTATTCAAAAGATTGTTTAGAAAAAGTAAAACATATCTTAACTTTTGAAATATTTTTTAAAATTTTTGATCAAAGATTTTTTAAAAGATAACAAATTTGATTAAAATTTCATTTTTGGAACAAAAAAAAAATATTTCATTTTAAAATTTTAAGATTTTATAATTTATTATTATTTTTACTTTTTAACTTTCAAGAACTTATTAATTTGTATGAAATATTAATTTTTAAAACTGTGTTTTTTATAATATAAAATATTTTATTTTTATTGTACATTATTATATATTTTATATAAGTAGTTATTAAAAAACTGTCTATAAATTTGTTTAACACACAATTCTTTCATATTCTAAATTCAGAATATCCGCTTAATAACTTTTTAAAGGTTAAAACTTTAAAGTCCCACTCAAGGACACTTGAACTCACCTTTTTCACACAAGAAACAGAACGAATTAATTTTTGAAAAGAACTCTCTTAAAATTCTTTCTGAACACTTTGTCACTTTTACTGGAGTTTTTGTTCCTTTGTTGGGATTCGATTTTTGCACGTTATTGCACAGTTTTAGATCCTTATTCCTTATGGATGCTAATAAACATTTCGCGCACTGATTTAACAGTTTTGTTAGTTTTTAAACTTTTTTTTCTTCTTTTTATTTATAAATCACAATTTGGTTTTTGTTTTCTTGCAAATTCTGCGTAAAAATAATCCACTGTGTCAAAAGTTCGTTAGCTTCTTGGATAAAACTGTCTTGAAATTTGACAATTTTACATGAAGCTGCTGCAGACGACAACGAGACCAGCTCGGGTTCTAGAGGTTGGTCGTTGGGTTGCTGTTAGCTGGTTGCTGGGCTGATGTTGGTTGGCTCGCTGGTGGCTGGCTTGGGGCACCACCAAGATACAACCGCTTCATAAAATTCAAAGAGACTCGGACCCAATAGCTTCTCAGCGCTTATTTATATAGCCTACGTCGAGCGGCTTTTGGTGAAAATCAAACGAAACGAACGAACCAACATCGCGACAGCGACAACCGCAGCAGCAGCAGCGGCGACAGCGACGCCGGCAGCAGCAGTCGCAGTCGCAGCAGCAGCAGCAGCGTTGAACGAACATGCCAAGTGAAGCCGGGCCGGGGCCAAACCAAACGCTGAGAGCGCCACTCACCAAGAGCTGAGAGCGCAAAAGAACTTCGCACACATACACAGACCGCAACGGCGACGCCAACTGCGACTGCGACAGCGGCAGCGGCAGCGGCAGCGACACGTGAACGCAAACACAAACGCACATACACACAGAGACAGAGACGCAGACACCAGCAAACACACTCAAATGCTCAGTGACGGCAACAATGTTGCTCATCATTTAGATCTCGCAAGCTGACGTCGACGCCGATGTACAGTGACCAAAAATAATAATATCAAGTATCTATTGAAATTTGATAAATAAAATTTATAAAAAAAATGTATATAAAAAATATAATATTATTAAAATTAGTCCGTTATGTAGATATTATCACTGTGTAACTAAAAATAAGTTCCGAATAACCTTTGTCAACAATTTGCTTGGGTTCAGGGTATATGTGATAATGTTGAACAATACTGTTTTTTTTTTAGATCTTAGCTAAATTATATCATTTTTAACGGAACAGCGAACAGCTGTTGAAGCCATTGAAAGATTTGAGCGAAGCGCGTTTTCAGACTCATTCAAACATTTTTATTGAAAATGTTAAGCACCCAAATATATTACATTGTGAAAGATAATTTTAAATATGAAAAAAATCAACAAATACCGAATTGCTGCCAGAAAATTGGACTCTTGTAAGGGGCTAAAAGTTGCGGACACACTGTGCATTGATGCAGCTAGCGCGAACGCTGACTGCGCTGTGGTCAATGAATAAGTGCTGCTGGATTTAATGCATTGCAAGAATTCCCCACGCTGAAGCACAGAAATTTCGCAGAAGCGGCGTCAGCAAGTTGGCAGCCCCAACACAACGCCAACAGCGCAGCAGCAGCGATGTCGTGACGCAGAGAGCACAAGCCGACTTTGCAGAGACTGCGACGGAGACTGAGAAATGGACTGAGACGCAGACGGAGACTGAGACTGAGACTGAGACGCAGCCATGTAACTTTGGCCAACAACTTGAGGCTCTCGCCATGCTCTTTGGCCAATGTTCGTGTTAGCGGCGGCGGCGGTGGCGGTGGCAAGTTCTTGGCCATGGCCAAGACGAAGAATTCGCACTGCTGCTGCTGTTGCTACTCATGATGATGTTGATTGATATGGAGATGATGATGATGGCATGCTGATGTTGATGCTGATGCTGCGCTCGCACTGACTGCAGCTTCTTAAGTCAGTCAGTCAGTTGGCCATCAAGCGGCGCTTTGCGGTTTTTGTTTCGACCTGCTGCAGACTAAAAATACCTATGTGTGTATATAAATGTTGAATTTTTTTTTTTCTTTTTCATGTACAGGTGTTGGCCAGCGCCGTTTCTAATTAAGCAGCACTCGTTGTTGGCTGATTTGGACATGGGCAGCGCACGCTTTGGACGACAAATGTGGTAAGAAGAGAAGAGCAACCGGTTCTCGAACCCACGTCGTAGTCCAACACTTTTGGGGTGTACTATTGTGTGTGGCTTCAAGCTGATTATTGACCTTTCTTATAGCTAGTAAACAGCCTAAGCTGCCGGAGCATTAGCCAAGCAGGCAGCCAGGCAGCCAGGCAGCGAGTCGGTCCAGCTTTGTACCAAGCCGTTTCTGCTTAATTGTTTGCGAAATTCTTTTAGCCGCCTTTTGTTTGATTTAATTAATTATTTAATTACGCTTGAAGTTGGCAATTTTGCCGGGTTTCTTGCACTTGTCTCTGGCTTTGACTTTGTCCGCACACGCACACACACACATGCACACACACGAACAGACACACTCACACGCACACCTTAACGAAGAAGTCGCGCGCGCGCGCTCCACACCTCACACCGATTGCGGCGTGGCGACGGCGTGGCAGCAACAAAGCAACTTGCAACACACAAAAAGTACGCGACTTACAGCTAGAAATGTGCTCCGGCCAAATAACCACGTCCGTTGCACGACGCGCACGCTTCGCTAATGAACTGAACATTTCCGCTTTGCCGGCATCCTTTGGCCCGTTGCCGTCAGCTCGTTGCTCGTTGCTCGTTGGTCCTTTCGGTCCGCTCGGTGGATGCTGCCAGCGCATTGCGCCGGCGCACGTCAAACATTTGAGCGTGAAATTTGTCGCAGTCTGACAAACAACAACAAAAAATGTAATAAAAAGAAATCAGCCACTTCCACCCGCTCCCAGCCTCCCCAGCATCCGAGCAGCCCAGCTGCCCGTGCCCCAGTCCAATACCAGAGTCTAGTGATTGCCGGCTACGTGTTGCCGGCATTTGTCGCTTGTCGGTATTGTATTGTGTGTGCTGTTTGTGTGTTGTGTGTATGCTGTCTGTGTATATGTATGTGTATCTGTGTGTGCCTGTTGTGTGTGTTCTTCTGTTCTCTGGTTCTGGTCTCGTTGTCGTGCAATATTTTTTTGGCATTTTCGCTTTATATGTGCAAATTTAATGGCAACAATTGGTGCGAAATGCCGGACATGCAAAAGCGAGCTCTGAATGAACGACATCAGCAGCAGCAACAGCAACAGCAACAGCAGCAGCAACAGCAACAACGTCAGGAGTTGGGTCAGCTGCCTTGGATGGCTGGCTGAGTGGTTGGGTGGCTTATATATTGCTGGCTAGTTGCCTGGCTGGTTAGTGCATTTGTAGTGTGTTTTTTATTATTATTTTCCTTCTATTGAATTGAGTTGCAGAGCTTGCTGCGAAACAGGGTCCAATTGTTGAGTGCAATCCAAGGTGAGATAAAGCACTCAACAGCTGAGAGCACTTCAAACTTGGCTTATTGATAAACTAGTTGGCAATAATAAATTGCTGGAAGCTTTTCAATTGAATGCAGATTCTTAAGAATACTCAAACTAAATCACGTTTCCAACTAATAAACTAGAATTTACAAAACCTGCAAAAGCTGATAACTTTAAAAAGCATATATTCAATGAATTAAATCGACTTCAAACTTGCAGAATAAGGTCAAAATTGAAATTTAATTGTAAATTTCCATTAGAAATGCAATTTCGATCAAGATTTTGTGCGCGAGATTTAATGAAAATATTTGTGAAATGTAAATTTTCCATAAAAGCCAATCCGAATTCTCATGATTAAGGCCATTTTGGGGCCATTGTGAATCTGCATTCTGTATGTAAGCATTTAAAAAATAAATAAGTTTCAATATTTTTTTTAGTTTTTCTCGATGCTGTAAATTGCAACATTGAATAACATTTTATTGACAAATATGTTGACATATTAACTTCCTTAATGCTTCATATAATGCCCCTCGTAATCTTCAAACTTCCAAATCTTTGGCAAAACTATACTGATTTTCATTTCATGGGCATGTCTTGTTCTCAAGATTTATTCTTTAAGAAATTATACTTTTGGTTAAAAATATTTCCTCCTTTATTTTATAAATCATTATAAATAATCGATTGTGATGGACAATACATGTAGAACAGATTCTCATTCAGATTAGTATATTTTTCAGTCGAAAGTCACGCCACAAATGGCCAAATGATGATGGACATATAAAGTTCCCAACTTCCTAGTAAATATGGACTTCAAACTTTGTCGAACCATTTACTTTTTATATGGGACACCATTTGGGGCATGATTTAAACTCCAGATATTTTTCCACCCATTATTTCAATTCAATTTTCTAACTGTTAACTAGTTACCTAGTGTTTTCTACCTTTTGAAATTTTTGAGCTTAAGATACAATTTACTAAACGTCTTCAACGTTTATTGGGTCTGCCCTAAAGTTTGCGAGTTACTTCTACACCATGTTTATAGCATTCCTTTCTATCGATAAAGCGGCACGAAAATGTGGATACTAACAGTTAATTTTATGCCAAAATTTCCCAAGTACTGTCACAAGCGTTGTGTGTGTGTGTGTACGTGAGTGTGTTTTATTAACCATTTGATGAGAGGCTATATAGCGAAATCACTTGCACAGTTATCCACCAGCTGATTGAATACTCAAATTTCGCACACTGCCTGCCCCTGTATAGTCTTAATCATGATGATCATCGTTGCCAGGAGCAAGAGCAGGGGCAGCCGCAGCATGGTCATCATCAACTGTAAAGCACTCCCATGGCCATCCATCGCAACCAACTGGCCAACTAACCAGACAATCGCCGAGCTTCACTGTAAAATGCCAAGCGACAATATTTCGCAGTTGCTGCAAGAACGTCGAGTGATTTTCATTGTGTGATGTGACAGGTGTCACCGCGTGTCGACGGTGGGTGGACGTGGAAAATGGACGTGAACGAGGAAGAGGATGTACAGGAACAGAGGACAGGCGACAGAGCACGAGAGACAGCGATTGTGTGGCAGCAGCAGCAGCGTTGGCAGCAGCGGCAACTGTGGCGTGTGGCAATGTCAGGCAATGAACACTGCGCGCCGCGCCGAGGCAAGCATCATGACCAATTAGCCTTGTTAGTGAGATAAAGTATGGGGTACGGCAATGGGCCAGTAGCCAGCTATATAGTACTAACGGTATCTGGCAGGTATCTGTCTCTCTCCTCTGCTGTTCTCTCTCTCTCTCTCTCGCTCTCGCAGGACATCTGCGAATGGGAATGACAGTCAACGCACGCCCGAGTTCAATTGATTTAACATGAAAGTGTAGCTCGCTAAATTGATTTTTGTGAAAATTCTCGACTTTTGGCATACTAGAAATCGCCAACGACAACGCCAACGGCAGCGGGAAGGAGATTGGGAAGAACAGCAACA